GCAGGCAGCCAAACACATTGGCAGTGCGTCACAAGTGAATACTCATGAGAACGCAAGACAAGCAGTGGCAACGAGGGCGCACACACTCGTGAGCAGTAGACAGATAGAGGAAAACTCTCCATGGCAGCATGATGAATGAACGCAAGAGCTCATGAAAGCACGAGCAGCATGGCCCGCTGCTGCACACCCTTAGCAACGGATCGCCCTCACAGATGATGAGGCGCCTCACAAGTTGCTGCACACACTTAGTGATGAATGGCCCTTACACATGCTGCAGGCTGGTCATTGCTGTGCTGTCAACACATCTAGCGACCCGTTGAGTTGATTAGAGGATAGATCACTAGCAAATAGGGGCCAGACGGGGTGTGAGGAGAGGTGACTTTTGAGTCGACTCAAAAGTCAACTCGCTACAATGTCACACGGTGTGTTTTTTACATGGAGAGCAATTGTCGCTTGGAAGTTACCTAGAAGAGTTGGAAATTATTTGATTTCTGCTCATAAGAGTTAGTGTAGTGTAGTGTTTGTTACAGCCCAACAGTACAGCTTCTCCCTGGCCCAGCGAGGAATGCCTCGCGTGGAGCCCTCGGGATTAGTATATTAGCTCTAGTTTGCTCTTTTTTTCCCTTGTGGTCTGAAGAAGGCTATAAGCCGAAACCGGTTACCGCCAAATTTCTCTACAAGAGATTTTCAAGCAAACATTTTAACTAACAACCTTTTTTACAAGTTGAATCAGTCGCAGCCACGTAAAGACATGGCTCCTATCTGGGGCTCCATTGGACTTACGAAAGATACATCTACGATGGCCGACTACAAATTCAACGCAACAAAACAAACCAACACCAACGCTGACCAAGCTCCTGAAATTCCGAGACCCCTAAGAACATCGCGAAGAATTGCGAACTTCAACACGGGTACTCACAAGAATAAAGAGCCGGTCAGCTCGGAGGATTTCTCATTCGAAACTCCTTCGGCTTCCAGACCCAGCAAAAGGAGAGCTCTCGACACTCCAGCAGCTACTCTAGCCGGGACTACCAACGCTCCAGGAATTACACCTATCACCATGGCTACTCCCATTGTCAAGGCTACGGTCCCTGGACAGGAAGCGGTGCATAATGTTCAAGACGTTCAGGACGTCAGCGACACTGTTATGACTGACGCTCTTGATTTCTTCAGAGAATTTAACACCTCTTTTCTGGAAAAGCAGGCTACTCCGACTCATTTGAATACGCTTAAGCAACAAGCAATTGCTGATTTCAAGAAGCATTTTTCCAAATACCGGACTCTACGTCAGCAATATAACTTCATGGAAGAGCAGAAATGGAACGGGATCATTCCCCACTCTATCCGGATCAAGCCATTTAACTTCGTCTGCAATACTGAAGATCTTCGTCAGGAAGCAGATAAGAACCTGGAAGCGGCTCGTCTGGCTTATTGCCATAATGCTCAGGACATCATGATCGCCATGAAGAAGAAAGCCATGAATAAGGCTCTCATCGATGCTTGTGTCGTCAATCTGTCTCTGCAACACCACATCGACAATTTCATTGATCTTAACAAGAAGTCCGACCTCGGCCAGATCAATCCGAAGTTGATCGAGAGCCTGGATTTTTTCAAGGACAGGGTGTTGCTGGAATTTAAGCATGCAGTTTCTGTTGTCTATATGGAGACTAACATGGCTGAAATTCTTCTGAAGCAGAAAAACGACGACATTAATGCTAAGAAAGCAGCTGCAGTTGCGGAAGCAGAGAGCTTACCTGTTGACCCTACTGTTCGGGAAATCGCTCGTCAAGAAGCGGAGAAAATCCTGAAGCAGTCCTCCTCCTCTAAGACTCCGGTTAAGAGGGTGAATGGCAACGGCAACAACGGCAAAAACAAGAAGGTTAAGGCCTCTGTTCCTTTTAAGTCTAAGACTAACAAGCCCGGTGTCAATGTCAGGAGTGCTGGTCATAAGAAATCTACTTCACCCAAGGCGGGGAAAGATACCCGCAGCTCCGGCTCCAATGACACCAACAAACCGAAGCAGACTGCCGCTGCTACTACTAAGAAGAAGATCACTCACCCTAAGAGGACTGTCGCTGATGATGAGCAAGCCGTGTTTAAGAATGTCGGTCGCTCCTTTGCTAAGACCTCTGGACGCAACGCCTCCGGCCATACTGGGAAAGCAACTGCATAAAAAAACGGGGGAGGTGGAGGCCGCGGAAAAACACAGACACGTTAGTCGGTGACGTGCATGCCTATGCACTGATCCTCTTCGGCAGATAGACGGAGTATCAGCTGCAATGCCGTGTCACGAACCGCGGTCTTCACAACTACAGTGATCATACGTTTTCACAGAAAGAACTGAACCTGCTAAGCCTTGGTCTCAAATACATACCTGTCCCTGTCATCCGTAGTGCTGCTAGCTTCGAAGCGGAACTGTCGTCTTTCTTCAGGAGTGTGCGTACCATGTTTCTTTTTAATGGATTTGATTCTCTTGGTTACTCAGGGTACAAACTGCCTAAACGTGCCAACTGGACTCCTCCGCCAGCATCTCGAGAAATCGAGACGGCGTTGGAAGTTTTCAGAGAAGCAGCCTTTAAAGAAATCAATGGACAAACCTTTTCATCACTCACCCGCAAATCGAAGAACTTCATCCCAACACTTCGATGCCTTGCTAAGGATCCGAATCTCATTTTTAAACCGCCTGACAAGAACCTTGGACTAACAGTCATGAGCAGGGTTTTCTATCAGGACAAGTGCCTGACACACCTCCTTGACACTAAAGTTTACAAGGAATACCCGTCAGTCCCTATTTCGGAGATACTTGGCGAGCTTCGTTCAATCCGTGCTGAGTGGAATCCTTTGATTAAAGCTCAGATTTGGGACTCCTTTTTCCATCAACCTATTTCTGGGTGGAAGGTCCCGGCTTTTTACATCCTACTTAAGATTCACAAGAAGGTCCCAGCCGGCCGGCCGATTGCAGCCTGTCATTCCTGGATTACTACTAATGCTTCTAAATGGCTCGACTCCGTTCTTCGGCCTTTGGTGCTGAAGCAGTCTACCTATATTAAGGACTCTAAAAGTCTTATTCTGGAGCTGGAAAAACGGAATTTCTCTTCAAATCTGCTGCTCGCGTCCTACGACGTTGAATCACTTTATCCGTCAATACCTTTATGGGACGGGATCGACGCTGTTGATTATTTTCTACGGAAAGAACGACATCCGCTTGCACCAGTCATCATTCGTCTGCTGAGATGGGTGATGTTCAACAGTTTTGTGTCTTTCAACGGCCGTTTTTTCCGACAAGTCCAGGGTACAGCCATGGGGACTTCCGTAGCTGTTTGCTTCGCGGTACTTTTCCTCAGCTATCTGGACATTCAATTACACGCCTCGCTGCGCGTTCTTCCCGCTCTACATCTCCGTTTCATTGACGACGGTCTGATTATGTGGGAAGGGACGCGGGAGGAGTTTGAGATTTTTCGGAGTCGGTTTGACACCCTTCACTCTTCCATCCGTCTCACCTGGGTTATTTCAGAACAGTCAATGGATTTCCTTGACTTAACAGTGTTTAAATGACAGAGATTTCAGTCTTCCGGCACACTGGACATGAAGCTGTTCCAGAAGCCGATGAACCGCTACCTGTACCTGCCGTTTAAGTCTTACCACACCCGCGCTACTAAGCTAGGTTTTATTCGGAGTGAGCTGCAACGGTTTTTACTGCGCTCTTCCTCCCGTCCTGACTTTCTCAATTCCCACGCCCTTTTCTTTGCTCGCCTCCGAGCTCGCGGCTATCCGGAGAAATTTCTTCTTCCGATTTTTAAGTCAGTTTTGTTCTCCGACCGTGGGGAACTTCTCCAACGCGCCTCTTCTTTACAGAACTCTCCTAACCGTGGCCCCCTGGTGCTGAAACTGCTGCTCAACCCGCTGGTTGACCGTTCTCGCCTGGGGTGCATTTTGAGTCGACTCAAAAGTCAACTCGCTACAATGTCACACGGTGTGTTTACTACACGGAGAGCAATCGTCGCTTGGAAGTCACCTAGAAGAGTTGGAAATTATTTGATTTCTGCTCATAAGAGTTAGTGTAGTGTAGTGTTTGTTACAGCCCTACAGTACAGCTTCTCCCTGGCCCAGCAAAGGATTGCCTCGCGTGGAGCCCTCGGGATTAGTATATTACCGTAGCTCTAGTTTGCTCTTTTTTTCCCTTGTGGTCTGAAGAAGGCTATAAGCCGAAACCAGTTACCGCCAAATTTCTCTACAAGAGATTTTCAAGCAAACATTTTAACTAACAACCTTTTTTACAAGTTGAATCAGTCGCAGCCACGTAAAGACATGGCTCCTATCTGGGGCTCCATTGGACTCACTGGCAAATAGGGGCCAGACGGGGTGTGAGAAGAGGCAAATAGGGGCCAGAAGGGGTGTGAGGAGATGACAAAGCTTGGGAAATGACAAAGTGTGGGGAATGACAGAGTTTGGGAGATGACAAAGTTTGGGAGATGACAAAGTTTGGGAGATGACAAAGTTTGGGAGATGACAAAGTTTAGGATGGATTGGGAGGCAGGCAGGCAGGAGGTGCATTGTTCCTAGAAAATAACAAAACCTTACAAACAACCAATCAGCACGTGAGAGAGAGAACGAAAGAAGGAGATGAGCCCAGGGCGTGGCAATCAAGAGGAGATGAGAAGGAAGGAAGGGGATGTCAATAGGTAGGTACGTTTGACAAGTTGATAAACGCCATAAATATTGCCTGTACAGGTCAGCATAAACGTCCGGCTTAACAATCTCTGCACATATGCAATGTGGACGTGTTGACTTTTGAGTCGACTCAAAGGCCGGCATAATCGCCCAGCTGAACACTCTGTGCACATATGCAATGTGGACGTGTGCCAGCCAGAACACGATAGCCTCAAACATGTTTCAGAAGGGCTGCAATGCAAAATGCGAACGAATTGTTTCAGAACCACCAGTTTACAAAGGCAGGCGATTGTTATCACACAGTGATAGCCATCTTGTAAGGGACTTACAGAATTTTCAGGTGAGATAGATTGCTGAAGGTGCTGGGAAGGGAGCCTCGAAGGAACCCATTGTTGGACAGGTTGCTTGCTGCATGCATGCATGTCATTCCATCCATCCATGCATGTCATTCCATCCATCCATGCATGTCATTCCATCCATGCATGCCATTCCATCCATGCATGCCATTCCATCCATGCATGCCATTCCATCCATGCATGTCATTCCATCCATGCATGTCATTCCATCCATGCATGCCATTCCATCCATGCATGTCATTCCATCCATGCATGTCATTCCATCCATGCATGTCATTCCATCCATGCATGTCATTCCATCCATGCATGCCATTCCATCCATGCATGTCATTCCATCCATGCATGTCACTCCATCCATGCATGTCATTCCATCCATGCATGTCATTCCATCTATGCATGTCATTCCATTCCATCCATGCATGTCATTCCATCCATGCATGTCATTCCATCCATGCATGTCATTCCATCCATGCATATCATTCCATCCATGCATGTCATTCCATCCATGCATGTCATTCCATCCATGCATATCATTCCATCCAAGCATGCCATTCCATCCATGCATGCCATTCCATCCATGCATGTCATTCCATCCATGCATGTCATTCCATCCATGCATGTCATTCCATTCCACACACACACACACACACACACACACACACACACACACACACACACACACACACACACACACACACACGTGTGTGGCACACACAGACAGACGTCACATTGGTAAGTTGCCCCGAGAGTCCCCACTGAGGGGCCATCACAACGCCAGCCATGGTAGTCTGAAAGAGTCCATACATACGAGCACAAGAGGCAGGAAACAGCTGCATGGCAGCTAGGGTTATAGAAGGACGACCTGGGTAGCGGCAACGCGCAAGTGAGTACCCAGACAGGTACAAGCTCACAAGCGGACGCTTCTTTCCCAACAAGCTGAGTTTTGAGTCGACTCACAAGTCAGCTCGAAGCACGACCTGGGCAGCGGCAATGCGCAAGTGAGTACCCAGGTCGCCCTTCTATAACCCTAGCTGCCAGGGGACAAGCTCACAAGCGGACGGATCTTTCCCAACCAGGGACGGAGGAAAAAGAAGAAGGGCGGGGGGTGAGGGGGGCTGGATGGGTGTGGTGAAGTGGAACGGAAGAGACGTACAGGTAGGTGAGAACAGTGAGAAGGCCAATCGAGGGTGGGATAACCCCTGTTAGCACCATGCTGGAGAAATTCCTGCACACCAGCAGCGGGAGAGGGAGTGGGGGCTGACTTTGGTACTACCAGGCGGTTCGGCTTCAAGAGTTAGTTATCGAACTTGCTTCTTGCGAGTGATGTGAGTTCTATATGCACAAGAACTCTATGTGCTGGAAATCCCACCACTATGATATAGGGTTGGCTCTGCTCTGAGACGTCTCAAAACCAACCTAATTAAACCATTATGATACAGCACAGCACAGGAACCACTCCCAACTGCGCATGGCCGCTTTCCTAGCTCTTTCTCACAGGAATAATGTTTTTCGAGAAACAGGGTCACATTTAGTGAGCTCCTTCTCCCAGGGATGATGTGTTGTCAGACTCAGACACATGGCCGCATTTCCCAGCTCACAGGGAGATTGTGTTTCGAGACACGGGGTCGCATTTAGTGAGCTCCGAGTAGCAGGGGGAGGAAGGGAGGTCATTCCGACCCCAGGCAGCTGCACAATCGCTCATCACCTGAACTTTAGAGACACGAAAGGAAAGGTAGGGAAGGACATGAACTTGGAAGGATAAGATTTTGTACGGCAATAGAAGGACAGGCGGCGAGCCGTTGATGGGGATCGGTTCAGACTGCAATCTACTTGGTCTGCAACACTGGAGGCAGGCACATGCCTTCGCTCCAGCTTTCTGTAGAAAGGTAACCAGATCGCTACAGGATCAAAGAGTCACATTCTTAATTGTCTTGCTTCCGTGGCCTGCACTGACCCCTCACGCTGCAATGTCATGCACCACTCCCTCACGCTGCCATGTTATGCACCACTCCCTCACGCTGCCATGTCATGCACCACTCCCTCACGCTGCCATGTCATGCACCACTCCCTCACGCTGCCATGTCATGCGTCACTCCCTCACACTGCCATGTCTTGCGTCACTCCCTCACACTCTGACACACATCCGCAATCAGACAAACAGAGAGGGCACAACCACAACACACATCAGTGCGTCTGCGGCAGCGTTAATGCCTGCCATAATCCTGGCGCGCCCAACTTACCGTCTGCACGTTTGGGCCAACCCAACCCGGCAGCGTCCAGGCTCTGCTCAGTCCTGCACTTTGCCCAGTGCGTGAGGGATCGGAGTGTCACACAAAATATGCAGAGCCGCAGATTGAGTCCGTGCGATATGACATCCCGGGGGGAATCAAGCAACGATAAGCATGAAACTCGTCCTCTTCGCCGTTTCCCGCCTAAATAAGCGAGCATCGTCCCCTCTTGGCGATCCAGTTCCAGAGATACTGAGCGGAAAGAACAAACCACTGTTGACGGTTGAGCCACATGAGTCTCCAATGACAGGTCAATTACAAGCCTCGATGCGAGTCGATTCTGACTCTATCGCGGAATCTTCGGCTGCCCTTGTCGACTCACACTCGCTCTCTCCGTCCGACAGAACTCTCTACCTCGCATGCTTGCTCGCATATGCTCGCTCTCGCATTCTTGCTCTCATATGCTCGCTCTCGCATACTTGTTTTCGCAACGAGGCGGGAGACGCCTCCACGCACGCCGCCTCACGGGCCTCCCGTTAGTACCCTGTTGGTAACGACGTGCTACGGAGCGAGCGACCGTGACTTCGTTACCCTAAACTGTGGGCGAAGTCTCGAGTCAGTAGTATGCAACAAATTATCTAGAATGACACGTCTCGAGTCGGTGACGCCGTGTCATACGCCCGAGGCACTGGAAATGACGAGACCAGGCACCGACACTCTGTTTTGTGACTCGAAAACTAGCAAAGAAACGAGCCTTACAATCAATGGCGTCTTCAGCCGAGGCATGGGAATCGTTACAAGCAAGGATCAGGGCGAACGGCAGTAATAAATGCCATGTGAATCTGCCATTGCGCCAGCGAAAAGGGCGGTGCGGGCGGACGTATAAAGCTGCCATTGTGGTGGTAACTAGGCAGCAAAGTCCATGTGGAGCATGCTCGGTAGAACATAAGGGCGTGAGGCGCTTGGGTAGAATTCGGACTTGGAAAGATTTCGAGCCTTCCTATGCAATTTCAGCGCATCGTTTCTGTTGTTGTATGTATCGCATGCGACTCTAGCGAGTCTTCGCACGCAATTACGAGAGCTGCAAGGAAACTCAGGCTGAAATCTGATTCGTTGCGGAAGTTTCTGAACGATTCGCGAAGCCTTGAAATTGTCGCCGACGTTCCCGCTTGCTGCTCCAGAAACTTTGCTTCTCCAACACTCCCCCTCGCACCTGACCCGAATTACTCTCCTCTGGAACCTGGCCCATGACAAAAGCAGGGTGAGTGCTGCGCCTTGACAGTCAACGCTGAGTTCCATTCTGTTAGTAATAGTTTCTTCGGTGTTCTTTCACCTGCCATTGCTCGGTCAGCAGCTTTTGTCGCCACACGCAGACAGGTGTATCGGCGTATCCGTCGCCTTCCTTCGCCGTCCTACACCTTCCGTCGCCTGGCCGTCGTCTTCCGTCGCCAATTTTCGCCACTCGTCGCCGGGCGACGTCGCGATGTCGTACCTGTTACCGCATCTGCACAGCGGGTGGGCCGTGGATCAGGCGATTCTGTCGGAGGAGGATCGCGTCGTCGTGATCCGCTTCGGCCACGACTGGGATGACGTGTGCATGCAGGTGGGGTGACGTGTGCATGCAGGTGCGATGACGTGTGCATGCAGGTGGGATGACGTGTGCATGCAGGTGAGTGACGTGAGCTTGCAAGTGCGATGACGTGTACATGCAGTTGGGACGGCGTGTGTAGAGGGGCGGAAAGAGCATATGGGATGGGGGCAGAGCATGCAGCAAGTACCATGTGGGAGGTCCAGGTGCTCACCATCCCTGTCTTCCCATTTCTCCTCCCACCGTCCACCGTCCATGTCCCTCCTTTTCCCATATCCTTCAAAACCCCCCCACCCTTTCACCTTCATTTCTCCGCTCGATCCCATTTTCCTCCCCCTCATTCATCCCCCTCCGTCCTCACGCCGTTCAACCTCCCCTCTCTCCACCTCGCTCGTCCTTCCCCCATTTCTCCCCTTTTTTTCTCTCCGCTGTTTTCCCATAAGAGGTGCTGGTTTTCAACACCATGTACAAGCTCTATCACCTGTTCTCTGCACTGCCATGTTCTCCCCTCCCTCTGCTCCCCATCCTTCCCTTCCCTTCCTTCCTTCCCATCCTTCCTTCTCTTGCCCTTCCCTGCGCCGCTCATCAGATGGCCGAAGTGTTGGCAGGAGTGGCATTAACTATCAATAACTTTGCAGTGAACTATCTGGCTAATATTTCAGAGGTGCCTGAATCCAACTCTATGTACAACGAGCTCTATCACCCCTGTGCCATCATCCCTCCCCTCCCTTGCTCCCCATCCTCCCCCCCTTGGCTTTCTCCCCCCGGTTCCCCTCTGATGGATGAAGTAATGGCAGGAGTGGCAGAGACCATAAAGAACTTTGCAGTGGTATATTTGGTGGATATTTCCGAAGTACCCGATTTCAACACCATGTACAGGCTATATGACCCCTGCGCCATTCTTTCTATGCTCCCCTCCCTCTGCTCCCGAATGTTTCCCTCCTTTGAACCCCCCTGCTCCCCTTTGATGCCCATCAGATGGACGAGGTGCTGGCAGGAGTAGCAGAGACCATAAAAAACTTTGCAGTGGTCTACCTGGTGGACATATCAGAGGTGCCTGATTTCAACACCTTGTATGAGCTCTACGACCCCTGCACCGTCATGTTCTTCTTCCGCAACAAGCACATCATGGTTCCCCTCCTTCTGCTCCCCATCTTTCCCTCCTTGCTCCCCCTTGTGATGCCCATTAGATGGACGAAGTACTGGCAGGAGTGGCAGAGACCATAAAGAACTTTGCAGTGGTTTATCTGGTCGACATCTCCGAAGTCCCCGACTTCAACACCATGTACGAGCTCTACGACCCCTGCACCGTCATGTTCTTCTTCCGCAACAAGCACATCATGATCGATCTGGGCACCGGTAACAATAACAAGATCAACTGGGCGCTAAAGGACAAGCAGGAGTTCACGGATATTGTCGAGACGGTTTATAGAGGGGCGAGGAAGGGGCGAGGTCTGGTGGTGTCGCCAAAGGACTATTCCACCAAGTATAGATACTAGGACGGAAGGGGTGGGACGGGGGCGGGTGGGGGCTGGGTCACTGTGGCGATGTTGAGGAATTTATTCACCTCAGTGAGCACAGGCAGGGGCGGGGTCTGCTGGTGTCGCCAGCCAACGGACTATTCCACCGATACGGTATTACGGAGGGAGGGAGGTGTCAAAATGAGGAATGAATGGTTCCATTGATGTTGGTTGGGGTACATATAACAAACCCTAACTTCTGTACCCCCTAAGACAAACCTCACTACAGGCTACAACATTTGACACACCCCCATAGCCTAAGTGAGGGGTGTCTAGCAAAATCAAAAAGAGTACGGTCACAAGACCAGTCCAAAAGAAAACAAAGCTCAGAGTGGATCACAACGTCACCACACACTCTGAGCACAAGCAACAGTGGCCACAAGGCCAGTCCAAGAGATCACAAGTATATATAGCAAGTGTACAGACGAAGCAGGCAATAAACTCAAGTCTACACATGACTAGAACCTGAGTCAACAAGGCCTAACTGCACACAACACCTCTGGTGGTCACAAGGCGGAAGCGCCTTGGTGAAGATGTCTGCAGTGTTGGCCTCGGACTCCACGAACTCGAAGCGAGCCTGTCCACGCCTCTGCAACTCTCGCAGAAGAAAGTACCTGACGTGAATGTGCTTCACTCTGCTCTCCAGTCGCGGCTCACGACAGAGGAGGATCGACGCCTTGTTGTCAGTAAACAAGGTCGGTGCAGAGCTCGGCCGCTCACCAAGGTCGGCGAGCAAGAAGGTCAACCACCGCAACTCCTGTGCCGCCATGGCACCAGCGTAAATCTCAGCCTCAGCTGTAGAGGTCGAGACAGAAGAGGAGCGCGTGGAACGCCAGGAAACAGCTCCAGAACCCAGACTGAAACAGTACCCCTGAGTAGACCTGTGAGTCTCAGCGTCGTCAGCGTAAGAGGAGTCACAGTGACCAGTGAGTACGACAGACTGCTGCCCTCTAAGAACTAGCCCCACGCTGATGCAGTCGCTAGGTACTTCGCCACCCTCACAGCTGCCGTCCAGTGAACAGGATGGTGTCTCCCTGGCGCAACAAAGCGCGCAAGGATGCTGAGAGGGAAGGCGAGGTCCGGGCGAGTACAAGTCATCAGGTACATGAGGCAACCCACAAGCTCTGCGTAGGGACCACTAGGCTCAAACGGCTCGTCAGGAAAGGGACCAGTGAGTCTGTGGTCAACAGCGAGAGGTGTGCGCTGTACGGTGGAGTGCTGAAGCCCGAACCGCTGAAGGACCTGCTGCACCATGTGTGACTGTGAGAGTGTAATGGTGCGAGCGGCTCTGTCCCTGGTGATCTGCAGGCCAAGGTAGTGGCGCAGCTCACCAAGATCAGTGCACGTGTGTCTCTTCTGCAGTTCGGACTTCAC